AGCAAACTGCCCTAAACCCCAACCTTTCCCTAAACCCATCCCAACTTTCCCTAAACCCATCCCAACTTTCCCTAAACCCATCCCAACTTTCCCTAAACCCATCCCAACTTTCCCTAAACCCATCCCAACTTTCCCTAAACCCATCCCAACTTTCCCTAAACCCATCCCAACTTTCCCTAAACCCATCCCAACTTTCCTTAAACCCATCCCAACTTTCCCTAAACCCATCCCAACCTTTCCCTCTTTCCCATCCCAGCCTTTCCCTAACCCCACCCCAACCTTTCCCTCTTTCCCATCCCAACTTTCCCTAAACCCATCCCAACTTTCCCTAAACCCACCCCAACCTTTCCCTAAACCCATCCCAACCTTTCCCTAAACCCATCCCAACTTTCCCTAAACCCATCCCAACTTTCCCTAAACCCATCCCATCCTTTCCCTAAACCCATCCCAACCTTTCCCTAAACCCATCCCAACTTTCCTTAAACCCACCCCAACCTCTCCCTAAAACCCCATCCCAGCCTTTCCCTCTTTCCCATCCCAACTTTCCCTCTTTCCCATCCCAACCTTCCCAACCCCACCCCCCGTGCCCCTGCCCCTCCCAGCTGCCGTTTCTCTCGGCAAAACCTCCAATTTCTTTCTTTATTTCTCTATTTCTCTTTTTTTTCCTAAAACCCCTCGGGGATTTTTCCCTGCTCTTTGTCTGGTGTCGCCCTTTGAGGCACCCGGCCCCGTCAGGTGTCGGAACTTTCCGCTCCCGGGGCCCGGAGGCAGCGCTGACCTTTCGGATTTATCGGATTTATTTATCGGATTGATGATCGGATTTATCAGCGCGATCATTTCCCCGCCTCGGCTGCGGGGTTTTCTCGGCAGCTCCGCCTCTGGCCGCTGACATTTCCCCTCCATGCTCGCCCTGCTCGGGCCCCACACGCACGGCTCGCTTCCCTCCCCACAGAAACTCCTTCTGCCAAAAGGTTCCCCTCTTTGGGCTGCAAATTTGGGGGCTCCACGGGGAAAATCCCAAAAATCTGACATTGCCAGAAAGCTGTAGTGAAATCCTCACCCCCAAAAACTCACTCAGCACACTCCCCAAAGAGGGGAACCTTCTTTGGGCTCCAAATTTGGGGACTCCACGGGGAAAATCCCAAAAATCTGACATTGCCAGAAAGCTGGAGTGAAATCCTCACCCCAAATCCATCAAAATCCCCAAAAATCCTTCCCAAAAACTCAGCACACTCCATGGAAAGGTTCCCCTCTTTGGACTCCAAATTTGGGGACTCCACGGGGAAAATCCCAAAAAAATCTGACATTCCCAGAGGGAAACCTGGGGGGAAATCCATCAAAATCCCCAAAAATCCTTCCCAAAATCCCACCCTGCATTCCCCTATGGAAAATTCCTCTTTTTAGGCAAAAACGGGGGCTCCACAAGGAAAATCCCAAAAAAATCTGACATTCCCAGAGGGAAACCTGGGGTGAAATCCATCAAAATCCCAGGATCCTTCCCCAAACCCAACTGTTCACATCCCTGCCTTCCCCTGGGAAAAATTCTCCTTTCTTGCTTCCAAATTTGGTGACTCCATGAGGAAAATCCCAAGAAATCAGACATTCCCAGAAACCCCAAATCCATTAAAACCCCAGAATCCTTCCCAAAAAAAACCCCACTGACCACATCCCTGCTTCCCCTGGGAAAAAATTCACCTGGGGGTCAGGGAAGATTCCAACCCTAAATTCCAAAGCAGGATGGAAAAGAGGGAAAAATGTCCCAGACTGAATCCCTTTTCCACCCTGGGGTTCCCAAACCCCAAGGATGGGATTTGGGGAGAAATCCATGGATTCCTGGAGCTGTGTCCATGAGAACATGGGAATGTTCTCACCCACAGGACATCCCCGAGGGTTTTCGAGGAATTTGGGGTTGGAGTCAAATGGGTTTTGGGATAGGATGAGGAGAAATGACCTCAAATTGTGCCAGGGATTGGGATTTCCTCATGGAAAATGGGGTCAGGCCTTGGGAAAAGGGCAGAATTCCCATCCCTGGAGGAATTCCTGGATGTGGCACTCAGGGATCAGTCACAGACAGAACGAGGAGAAACGGCCAAAAATTGTGCCAGGGGAATTTGGGTTGGGATTTCCCCATGGAAAAGGGAATCAGGCCTTGGGAAAGGCTGGGATTCCCATCCCTGGAGGAATTCCTGGATGTGGCACTCAGGGTTCAGTCACAGGTCGAGTTCTGGGACAGAATGAGGAGAAATGGCCAAAAAATTGTGCCAGGGGAATTTGGGTTGGGATTTCCCCAGGGATAAAGGGAGTCAGGCCTTGGGAAAAGGGCAGAATTCCCATCCCTGGAGGAATTCCTGGATGTGGCACTCGGGGATCAGTCACAGACAGAACGAGGAGAAACGGCCAAAAAATTGTGCCAGGGGAATTTGGGTTGGGATTTCCCCATGGAGAACGGAATCAGGCCTTGGGAAAGGCTGGGATTCCCATCCCTGGAGGAATTCCTGGATGTGGCACTCAGGGTGAGCATCACTCTGACCCTGCAGAGCTTTTCCAGCCCCAAGAATTCCTGGGAATTCTCCTGTGCCTACACCTCCCCCTTTTCCTGCAGCCTGCTCTCCGCCCAAACGACGGGATTTGGGAGAAAGTGAAAAGAAACGACCCCAAAACAAAGGAAAGCAGCCCAAAACGAAGCAAACTGCCCTAAACCAAAAAGAAAAGCAGCCCAAAAAGAAGCAAAGCAGCCCAAAAAGAAGGAAAGCAGCCCGGGAGCTCACGTCAGCAGCACCGGAACGTTCTCCGCCGCGGTTTCGGTTTCCTGGCGCCGATTTTTTTGCTGATTAGGGGAGAAAAAGAAACCATGAGCTCATCCTGCCCTGAAGAATCGCTCACAGGAGAATTTCAGAGTGGTTAGGCCCGGCTTAAGTCCAGCAAGGCCGAGCTTTGAAATGGTCTTCACCCCACAGGGTGGGATTTCCGTTCCCACATTGTGGAATAATGGGTGGAGGTCTCCAGGATTTTTGGGATTTTTGGAGGGAAGTCCCCCGGGCTCTGGGGGAAATAAATGTGCCTTAGGCTGGGCTTAAAACCCCTTAGGCCGGACCCAAAGGGGGTGTTAGCCATGGCATGGAGGCCTCTGTCACCCCACGGAGAGGATTGAGAGAGAGGGGGAAGCGCTGGAGAATTCCTGAGCAGGAAATTTCCATGGAAAGGGCTTGGAAAGGAGGGAATTGCTGCCAGGGAGGCTTGGGGAAAATGGTATTTTTTCCACTCAAAATAAAATTATTATCCAGGGAAAAACAGATTTTTTTTTTTCCTCAGAAATACAATTATTATCCAGGGCCTCAAAATAAAATTATTATTCAGGGGAAAATGAGATTTTTTTCCCCGTATGGAGTACAGTTCTTATCTAAGGAAAAATGGGATTTTTTCCCTCAAGTATGCAATTATTATCCAGGGAAAAATGGGATTTTTTCCCTCAAGTATGCAATTATTAT